ACAAAGAACTAATAAAGATGGTACACTATGGTGGGCGTCAAGTTATTTCTTTTAGTTTCAGAGTTTATTTTTCGCCGTATATTAGTTAAGAGTAGAGACTGTCAGTAGATATAGTGTGATCCAGGCCTATAGCGAAAACGTACGTATACGGAAGAGGAACGAATGTGCCGTAAAGTGTATTCTAGATTGCTGTGAAAGTTTACTTGCTGGAGTGAATAAATATGTGAACTTTATGTCTTGTGTCTGTCATCTATCGCACCACAGCGCCATCCTGCGACAAACTCTACGTCTCGTTTACCAAGACAGAGCGTTACACAACCTCAATTCCTTCAACGGGCACTACGCACTATATAGCTTCTCAATTTCAATCATATTCCAGCTACTTGTATACTAATTGTCGATTTTCCGTCCTTAATCTCTTCTCTTACATCTTTTTAAGACACTGTCAATTCTACCGTAGCAACAAGCTTGAAGGATCTCGACCAATAGCCTAAGATTATGATAAGTGATTTTTTTTTTCATTACAAAATTTTTGTCGATTGTCCAACTTTTGTACTAATTATTTTTAAAGTATAATTCATACAAAAAGCTCTTTATGAATATAAACGACTTACCAAACAAAATGGTTACATAATCTTATTGGTTGTTTTAATCATAGTGATTGATAACCTAATAATCATGCAGGTATTTAGACCGAATGAGCATATAATCTCAAATGTATGTGTGTACAGGCTTTTTTTCAGTTCACCTTAACTTAGTCTTCGATTCATTTTTTAACTATTGCTTATTTATTTTAATACGTTTCGTTTCTTTGAAGTTAATTCGTGGGAAGTACTCTTTTACTTTTTCTTTAGTGAGCACGACTTACGTATCCGTTGGATAACTGTAAACCGGAAAATTATTTGCTGCAGTTAAACCTTCTGCATGTTTAACTTCCGGATTTCCTTTGTGTACTTCCGAATGCAATACAAAGTTTCGTGGAAGGGACCGTTCGATATGAAATTAAATCATTGGCACGTCGATTAGTGTATGAGTGGAAAAAAATAAAATGCAAACAAATAAAGATATAAAAGATTTAGCCACGTTCTGTTAATGATCTCTCGAACATATTGTTCAAAATTTAACCGTCTTGTATATTCAGATTAATCTGGATTGAGACCCAGAAGCGCCATGGAAGGTTAAAGCCGTGCTGTCCTACTCACTTCCGGTGTCCGTACATAAAACCCTCAAGGTTGTAGACAAAATATATCCGCTTTGTGTATCATTTAACTATGCATATTTCAACAGTGTGTGATCATAATCTGACGCTCTAAACGTCTATAACAAAAGATATGACAGTAAATCTGCATTATGTTTTAGATCGGTGGATGATCTGAGCCGTTACCATATTCTCGAGTCTGATGCATAGACAAACTTTTAAATGCAAAGAATAAATACATTCCAACGGCTCAGACATCGGGTACAATCTCGAACTGCGACCCACATAGTTATATATCAAACATTACATAACCCTTAACTATTGCCAAACCTTCGTTTTTTGTTTGCGAATTGCGGTTTCGGTGTTGCAATATCTACAAAATATGCAAAATTCCTTATATTGCTCTTGAACCTTAACCTCTCCTAATCCATCATGACTACATGTTGATATTACAAAACGGTGGCCACGCCTTCCCGAGCACATCAACGTCACGTTAATGTGAAGTATTACCTGTTGTGGTTTACGTTCTAGTGATTTAGCTGCATACTTATATTGTATCATAATAAACCCTTACATCTGTACAATGTGCGGCACCGGTGATGGGAAATACCAGGCGTGATGCATACATTAACATGGTTGTCAAAATGGCGACATAGCAATTTACTTTACTTTTGAGATACCTCCAATCAATTAAAAAAATAATCGTATCTCTCTACTTAATATTGTAAATACATAAATTGGAATTTTGATTCCATAGGTGATCTTTGTTAAAACTAATATAATGTAGGACACCCATGCCATTGCACCTATACCATTATGTAATAGATTATGCAAAAAAAACCCAAACAAATAAATTACAATACACCCTAAAAACATACCATGAAGGCGTTTCTCAAAATAGAAGGAATCATGTGATTATAGCCAGTTGGTATCGTTGTTAAACCGCAGGTTGTGGATTAAGATGTGTGCACTTCAGTATGTAAACAGTGATAACCGAACTGCCGGATGAAGGTGCCGAGCCAACGAGAAATATAAGGTCAAGGAGATCGGGACCTCCTACAGGATAGTTATGACCAGCAGTTGATGTCGAGTTCATATGCTTCTTGAGCAGTAAGGGACTCACAAACTCCATGAAACAATTCAAAGCAAAACCGCATTCCAGTTTTTGGTCCTAGGAAGGTGCAGTAGGTGACTGTGAATTCTGTAAGATCCTGCAGCCGCTGGAGTAGCCCGAGTTTGCTCTGGCCCTGCCACCAGATTTAGACATTTTAACAGATAGATATGGTTACACCAGACATCTATCTGTCAAAATGTCTTAGTCGCTGGAGAGGATCTCTGGAGAGATGTGTACGATCGGGGTTGATCACTCTGGCTGTCCTCAGCGTTCCAATGCTGTACACATATCAAGGTAATTTCTCTACGACATTTCCATGGCCGTTGCATGAACGGTTGCCTTTTCCATTTTGCCCATTTTAACAGCAGTGTCGAAAAGATGCTCTACGTTGTCCTATGGTAATTTCGCGCGCTAACAGGTCGAGGTATGTTTTAATGTTTTCTGGTTTGTTTTCAGGGAAGATCTTGCAGTCTTGTTAGCGGCTGTATTCGCTTTCGCCAGTGTCTCCAATTCATATCTGTTGGCTGCGGAGGCATTTGAATACTCCAGCACGTAGTTCCTCAATCTCTTCTCTTCTGTTGACAATTGTACCTGCTGCCCCAATTGCATGATCGTAAGAGGCGACTAAATTTGGGATCTTATCTTTTCTCTTCTTTCTAAATAACTTTCTTCTTCCTAATGTTTACCTGGACAATGCCTCACTTTTGGCCTTTAGTTTAGCATTCGCCCCTCCCTGGCCGGGACATACCAGAGTCTGTAAAAATGGTAGTTTCGACTCCTGCTTAACGCTCAGCAATTTAAGAGTGAGACGACTGGTTCGCCCGTTGTCAGTTTAACGTGACCGAGTGGGGTGTCCTGCTGGGCGTCTTCGGCAGTATGTTTCAGTGAGGTAGCACTATAAAGTTGACATCAGTTCCGCGCTATCACAATGAGACAAACACGAACCTATCGCAGCCTCCCAAAACACACACGCATACACTACACGCATGCATCTTGTACACAGGGGATGCCGTCCTCAAATAACCATAGCTGTTAATAGGACGTTAAACAATAATAAACCAAACCAAACCAAACTGTTGACAATTGTTCGTGTATAGTCTGGGTTATAGGGCCTAAGTACTCCAGTAGTCTACTATTGTACAAAGTGCGAGATCTTGGAACCTTCCAATACTGCGGATACATATAATCCCACGTTTACGCACCCGAGTCGTCTTAGCAAGGTTAACACGGCACACCTAAGGAAAGGTTCAAGTAGTCTGTGTTCTTTGGATGCAAAAGGTCATTAATGGAATCCACTATAAAAACGTGGTCATCGCATTTTTCGTTCCATTTTCATTTTTTTACCAGCACAACACTCAGATATAGTAAAACCGTCCTTTTTACTGGCTTTGGAGCCTGCAAAGTCAGAGATGGGCATCCCTATGCTCGACCAGGAACAGTTTGTATGATTTAGTGTCAACTCTTATCACCTTTCTTGCGCCAAACGTCTTCATTTCCTCTAGTTTTTAACAATGAACTTTGAAGTGATCCTTTGTTCTACATCGGCTTTTTCCTTTTATTGGCCAAGATATCAAGAATATCGTAGATATTGTCAACATTATAGTCAATGTTTGACGCCCTGTATCCATATGTTCCTCAACCCCACAATCCTTGGTATTAGACATTTAAGCAATAAGAGAACCCGGTTTCAGATACCTTTTCTTGCCTAGCAAAGGTTTCTTTTCTTTCTTTATATAAAAAATGTTACCACAATGGATAGTACATGTTTAAAGATAACAGTTCAAAGTTGAAAGTTGACTGCTTGTCGAGTTCATGAAAAGGTTAAAAACGATTGCACCATCTGGTACGGACTAAAGAGATAAAATAAGAGGTGCTTTATCGTCATTGTAACATGTAATACACTTAAACACTAGCTCGCTTGTCACGATGTGCTGCATCCCTTGTAAAACTGAGTCTGCTAGAACAATTAGCGTGGGGAGAACACCTATAAACGAAATCTTCGTAACACCCTAGTTTACTGTTATGCTCAAAAGTGTACAATGTGAGGTAAACATTTAATTCCTTCGATAATTCAAATTCTATCATGTTACATGTAAGGTACACTTTTGATAATGATCGAGTGATCAGCGTGCAGTGACTCGCTAAACTATCATGGTACACTTTAATTAAAAGTGAGCCATGAACAAATGTCTTGATGTGAACGTAGTCAGAAGTTGAAAATGCAAAAGTGTCGGTCAAAGTAAAATGTACACACATATACACATCATGAACAACAAACACGGTATCTGCGGTAAGATATTTGTGCACGTTGCATGCGTATAAATATTTATAATAAAAATTCAGCGCCATTCCGATGATCTCATATCTGATCTGCAAAATAGCGTCCGTCAACGAATAACAGCACAACTTTTCTCAATCAAAGTTCCCATGTGTGCTATCAAACGGATGAAGATCTAGAGTGGGAGGGAAGAAGACGCTGCGGGGGGATTTTAGGCAGACACCATATTTTGAACAGCAACATCTAAATAAATCGATAAAGGGGTGAACTCCATGTCACATTTCTCATGTTTGTTTCTCCTTAGAAATCTTTATCACATGGGGTTATTAGTTTAATAAACGTTTTTTTTTATCGTGTACACATATCGATTACCCTTGATGGGCCTCTCGATGTCAGAATGACGCGCAGCTTTGCCTAACGAGTATGCGTGTGTGTGTGTGTGAGCGCTACGATCGCGTCCGTTTCACCTTGACATAAGACTGCAGGAAATTACTTGAACACACCGCCTTGTTTTTTTGAACTGAAACCATCAACAATGCAGAATATTCTTGTGACCGCTGTAATTATGGTCAGTCTGGCCACTGTAGGTATGTATAGTATATTTATTTTTGCATCAGTAATAATTTTTGCGAAACGATTTTTCTTTAATGAGGAGGGAAGTGTAAATATATGTGTGTGTGTGTGTGTATAAATAAACAACGCTCATACGTTTGTAAATACGTTATTTATGTGTATAGATCGATTCAGTTTCCATGGTTTTTGATAACAGCACAAAATATAGGAACCGCAAAACAGGTTCATGTAGGTAGAAATGTATTTGATAACGATTTTTTATAGCAGCTACACATGTGAAAATACTTGGTCTTGGCCTCCATGTAACACGTAAAGCTAACTACAGTTTTGTTGCACTATCGTTCTTCCTATTTACTGAAAATACCTTCTGGTACGTACGTGTCATATCGAAGTGAACTGCTAACCGGGTTTCAGTAACCGCAATATGCGAAATATCCTAATTAGGACTAACACCGTTACATCGACACTTTGACCTCTAAAACCTTACCTCGGGAATTTGCCTAGAAAATGCTGGTTCAGATGTGTAGGGCTACTTTACTCTTTTGTGTATATGTGTATGCGTTCTCGCCCCGTATTTTTTTTATCGAGAATAACGTGAAACTTGGTTTAAATTTTATTTCGCTACTTGAGGCTCCACCTTCACAATTCTCAATAGGACAAACATAGATAAATAACTGAATATGTGATGTAAGCTGTACAATTTTAAATCGGCGTCTTTTATCAAAATAAATGTCGTTTTAAATGTCATGTAGCAAAAAACCGCATCCCAGCCACATACCAACATAAATATATACATCTGTGTATGTGTGTATATGTGAAGATCTGACTGGTAGTGCAAGATAATGGGCCAGTCTTGATGAATCTGACAATGACGAATCAGCGGCTTTCTCCCTAAAGCTGTATACAAATTGTACATCTGAAAAAACACCGGAAAAAACATGTCCGTGTCTTTTTAAGTGTAATAATGTATTCTTCGTTTACGCATCATGAAACAAGTATTAAGATAATCCCGTTTGTGCACGGCCATGTTGGTCCGGCTCGAGCGTTCCTGCTCGCCGATCAATAATGATCTATTCAACCGACGGGCCTTCAATCCGTCGACCCTTCACTCACTGAATGCACAAGTCTTTCTTTAGATGTGGGATTGTTCGATGTGAAGATACAGGGGTGTTGATACTACGTACAAAATGTCACGCAAGTGTTCCTGCTGTAATGTGCAATTCATTGATTCTATATGTTTCCTCGTCCGACTATCTCAGCGAATCTCTCATTTTTACACCATTGCCGTTGTGATAAACAACTACACAATAGGACTCGGATATTGAGTTTGCCACTTTAGTTGTAGGTCGTACATAGCACTGTAATGCTTTGTATTGCTTTGGCTGTCGTCCTATATGAAAGATGGCTGTGTTGTCATCAACACCTGGTGCAAGTTACAAGGCACTTTTTCTACAGACGATATGTGACCCAATTTCTGTTAAGAATGGAGGATCTTGCCCGGGGATCCGGAGATTGCCCCTCCACACACCCCTTGTGAAATAGTGCTGATTCACGAATCCACCTTCCTTGTATAAAAAGGAGTGTTTACTCATAACATCAGCAAAAATGTATTATTTTTGATGAAATGCTATAAAGAACTGTCAGCTTAATTCACCAAATACGATATATTAGCTCATGAACAGTATGGGAGCGCACGACCAAATTATACATTTTGTCGAGAAAGGGTAATCGACAACAAAAAGGTATATGATGCCGAAGCTTATCAAGAATTATATGTTGGCGAACGTATGTAGTTAATTAATGTTGCGTGGTCTGTTGTCTAGTAAGACTAGGGGGCTAAACAACTTACAAAACACATGTTATCAGAGTGAATACCGACACGCATGTTTATTACTGTAACTCTGGCGATACGTTTATCTCCTTGTCAGTTAATTAAGCGCATGTGGGTTTTTTACTGTGACACGCCTCTCAGCTCACAATATGTAGTTACTGAGTTTGGTTAATAAATTACACATACCAAGGATAGACTCTGTGAACTATTTTGAGTTGATTTAACCGGTTTATGATGAGAGTACACTACGGTTTTTTTTTTGTGTTATACCTCCATAACATGAAAAATATATTCAAGTTAATTCAATCTACTATACACAATCACTGTGGAAATCCACTTTTATTGATGGACTCTTTTCTTTTAGAAATTATTGCGTTGCTGTATCAGCCAATCAAAACCGACGTTACAAACGGCGACGCCATTTTTTATGTTATGGGCTGATAACATAAATTTTTAAGCCAATTAAAATGCTTGATACAAGCAAGATTAAATTATGCTATGTGAAATATGATACCGGAAATAACCCGTAAACAGATCTCAAGTACAATTTGTAGGGGAAATAACTTTTATACATACGACACCGTGTGCTCACGTCTTCCTATAGATTATAATTACAGTTTACATTAAGTCATCCTTCGTTATCTATGAAGCATATTATTGCCTTGATCTCCCATTTGCAATTGGTTGCCGCTGAAAGGTCACTTATCATTTTCAGTCGCCAAGCTAGCCAGACACGTCAAATTTATTTGGAAAATTGAGAAATAGACAGAAAACAAGAAAACACTGAACCCTAGTTTCAACACAATGTCATCTTAAAGTAAAACAAATCAGTATATCTGCTAGATGTAGGATCAATTGCCAATTTTCAAAGTTTTATAAGTAAAACTTACTTTATGAAATTTAATTGTTCTTTTACGTACAAAAAACGCTAATTGACCAATATTTACACGTACATGGTACCAATTGATGGCGGGAAGGTTATAATGAAGTTAACAAGCTAAAACACCTTGCCGAAGAGTCTGATCGCCAGCGTGCGAGGGTCATCAGAGTAACAGATGAACATTGAGTCGAAACTTCCAACTTACTTCCTGTTTCATACTTTGTTTAGATGTAAAACTTTTATAAATTAGTAGATATGGGTTGACCAATATCGAAAAAACACAGTGGTTGCCTAGAAGAAGGTTTCTTGTTCCTTAGAAGCAAGTTTGGTTCCCTGGGACTCCAAAGAATAAATTTAGTCCTACGGGATTCAAACTAATATAACTTCTTCAAAAATAGCAAATAACAGCCTCGGAAGAGATTATGTTCTATCATAAATCAATGACAACTGTACAGACGTATGATTTTAATCTCCTTTCGTATAAACGTATGGGCAGTATGACGTCAGGTATAGGTGGCGTTCGGTATACATTTTTGGGCATGGTTTTAACCGTAAAATGTCTTAGCAGTACATATATGGGCATTATGACGTTTGGTAAACATATATGGGCACTATGACGTTTGGTAGACATATATGGGCATTATGACGTTAAATTTACATATATGGGCATTATGACGTTCGATGTACATACATGGGCATTATGACTTTACGTATACATATATGGGCATCATGGCATTTGCTATACATAACATTCATTATAGGCATTATCACGTTCGGTATTCATGTATGGACATTTTGACGTTCTGTACACATACATAGGCATTATGACGTTCGGTATACATACCTGGGCATTATGACGTTCTGTACACATACATAGGCATTATGACGTTCTGTACACATACATGGGCATTATGACGTTCGGTATACATATATGGAAATCATGACTTTCAGTATACATATATTGACAGTATGTCGATTAGTGGGTTTTAATGAACACCATTTCTTAATTCAATTGTGATCGTCATATTTTCCCGAATATTACAAGAATCTAGGGGATGTGAGGTTTATATAACTAACTTCCCTATATCAAACGCTATTTTCAGGTGTTAACTGTTTGAAAAATGTCACTTTATAAAGGTAATAATATGGATATGTGTTAATGACTGATGTATTCGGCTCTGGATGGCCGTAAATATACAATAATGCAAAAAACAGGACCTCATAACCTATTAATGTTGAAGTATAGCCTAAGGCTTCGTCAGACGGAGTTGAGTTTTGACATTTTCACAGTTAGTTCGTGACAGGTAGACAGGAATTATGTATATAATGTATAAACAGGCTACTTATATTGTTGTTCTTTCTCTAGTAAATAACTCTCTCGACACTTCGTATAATTAATACATAAAATGACAGAAAGTCAACGACTTCCTCTGACGTGTCCTGAAAACCAGGAATAAAACGACATCGGCATGCTGGAGAACCAGTTAACGCAGCTTATATAGTAAACAATATTTGTAATTAAACAAAACAGTTCTCATGACCAACACGGAATATCGGACTTGCCATGTGTCGACGATTTCTAACGATTGTAAACCCGTCGCAAACATTGATGGTGTATTGGTTCCGGTCTTGGTACGTCGACGTTATTTTGACGTCGTCTCGGAATAGATGATATAATAGACGTCGGAATAGGTGAAGTCATACAACAACCATTCTAAAGTAGACGTTATATGAACGCTATCACAATGCTGATGTTGTGACGGCCTATATCGGCATTTTCTCACACCCAAGATAGATTAATCCCACGAATTACTCCAGAATATAGATAAAGAATGAAAATATGTACGGAGGACAAGGGATTTATATCCAATTAATGATGTTTTTTTCTTAATCCCAAAGCTATATTGGCGACGTACCGGAAATGACGTTGTCATTTGAAGTTACGTTGGCGCAGTCTTAGGTAATGTTTTAATTGATATATACATCCTAATGAACATTTTATCGATATCGTCCTAGATTGAGGTTGCATTGGCGTTTTAACAATTGCAGAAAGGAGATTCACTTTTTAATGTTTTATAGACGCGTTTTTTGTTGTTGAAGCCGTTCTACATTAACATTCCATAAATTACGCTATGTTACGTTATACAACTGACTTCTTGTAAACGCTTCAATAACACCGCATTTTAACACCTTAGATGGACATTTTAATCTGTTTCTGAATGAATGTTTTGTTGACGCCGTCATAGTTCGATCTTTCATTACAAACATTTTAATTGTGTTTACAAATGACGTTTTATTGAATT